AGTGAAAATCTAATTTCAGGCTGCGGCTATCATCCGCATGTTGCAATCATTGTCGGGCGAAAAGCATTTTCAACGCGCTCTTGTACAGTATCTTAATAGGTATGCGTACGGAAACGCAAAAGGCTCCCAATTGTGGAAAATGGTTGAAAAGGTAGTTGGAAGGTTTTTGATTCCATAAGTCTCTTCAAAATCATATCATACAACAGCTTCACCCCTCTTTCAGAAGGAGTTTACGCTAATCATGTATTAGAAAGTTGAATTTCTTCTTAAAACATTAGCAAAAAATTTTCTTAATTTAATTCAATTTAAACATCATATGCGCTTCTCTGCGAAGGGGTTGAAAGTTTGATCACATCTTTTAACGCCATTTCAATGGAAAAAGCCGCAGAGGAATTTTGATCTCACCGCGTGCTGCCCATAACACAAGAAATGAACAACCAACTTACTACGTTTACCCGACAGAATGGCTTACTTAGTGTACTGCAGTTAACATACGATTAGTAACTGCTCTTTGACTTTCTTCAAACAAATGAAGTGATTTTGTGACAGACAAATACGCACATCATACAGACAAACTACGCGTTTTATTATAAGTAATGATATTTAGCATGCAGCGCTTCCCTATGGCATCTCAATCTCTGAGTTGGCAAATGCTTACATTACGCAAATGGGATACCCAATGATCTATGCGACACTTTCTCGCAATGAGATCACAATACATAATCAGGTAGGTCTTCTTTTTCTTCTTCTTCTTCTTCTTCCTCTTCTTCAAAAAAAAGAGAGTTAGCCGCGAAGGCACAGTGTGTACTTACTTATTATCGCGGATACTTGTCTGTTAGTGATTTAATCCTCAATCTCTTTTTGATTGATTAAATGGTTTACAGACATTCAAAAAATTCTCTTTAAAAGCATTTTCTAGAAAGGGCTGCCCATGTTTGGGCGTTAAAGTACATAGATCCATCATGCACAGATACTATTACATTCTACTCACACTTGAAATCGTCAAAAATCTTGATTACGAAATTGCTAGAATTTATTTTGCGCTACACGACGTCTTTTGTGATTTTCGCTACCAGTTGAGTATGCCATATGTAAAGAAGTAAAAGTGTAACCAGTAGTTATTTGTTCTATATTGCAGAGTTGGGTTAGAGATAAGTACGTAGTCAACAATGATCGCATGCCTAAAATTCGATCACGACTACGCACCATAGAAAGTATGATGAAGATGTAATGGGAAAGCTTACAAAGATACTAAGATACTTTCCTTAAAACTAAAATTTTGAATCAATTAGAGGTGATACAAGAGTACATCTACTTGCTGTGAATATTGTGGATAATCTAACCTTCTTATCACTTAAAAATAGCTATTTCGTTTCAGAGATTTTGCAAAGAAAATTTGTATCGTTTTAGTCGCGATTTTTCTTTGAAGATGGTATACAAGATGACGCAGAATGGCCGATCCCTTTACACTACCGTACAGACTCTCAGAGGGACGCGAAAATGCAATGGCTTAGAAGTGACCATAACAAAGGTTTGTTTCATAACGTACCATAAAGTTCTCGCTGAACTCTTGGCATAAGCTGTTCCATGAAGCGATTTTAGTCACATGGCCTTTGGAAGAGCGCTCGAAGTGGGTGATTATAAACACCGGAGGGTTAAGTTATGTTAAAGTGCTCTACGACAGAAGAAACTACGCTGCTTTGGCTAAACAGTTGAAGACGGATCATTCAGTATGCAGGTGTCTTACAATTTCTGTTTAACGTCACTTAAAGGGCTATCTTAAGGCAATATCCGCGATTGATCGTACTATGATCTTGGCTGATGCTTTCGATCTCGCGAAGACCTCGAAACTCAGCATAGCAACATATCTGGATCTGTTAGTTTATGCTGAAGGTAA